CCGAGCCATTTACCCTAGCCACTTGCTAAGTTCACTAGAAAAACAATAAAAATCCTGCCGAATTTCCAAAATTATAAAATAGTTCTCATGAAGTGGCCTAGTTTTAGGTGCCATATAAAATTTGATGTGAAATGTACGTGAAAACATCGAAAAACTTGAGTCCGCACACGGAAAACATCGATTTTACTAATTATTTTATTTTATTTTATTTTAAATATATTCTTCAGATCGATCATTAAGCTTAGCCGAGATTTTTGTTTCTCATGATTTTTGCATTCTAAATATTTGCTCATTGCTAAATTAACTAAAATAAAGTTATATCGAAGGAAATGTCGATTGAGAATGGAAGATTGTAAAAACCAAACTAAATAATTGTAATATGGCGGAGGCATAAAAGTTGATTTTCATGGGCCATTTGTGACAAAGCTATTTTGGTTTCAAGAAATCCTTAACAAATTCATAAGGTTTTGAATTGGCTTTTATGAAGAAAACTTGTAGACTGATCCCAATCCGTTCAGATTTATGGCAGCATTTATGGCGGCAATGTTGCCTACAAAATGTTAAACGTTAAAGTTTGTTTTTCTTTCGATAGTTGCGCTGTGCGCTGTGCACAGCGTTCTTCCAGGCGATTCTCTCCTGATGGCTTGGAAGCAGTTACTTAGAAAGTGTTCACAACATTTCGCATTTTGCACAGCTGTAACCTGGATAATTCCTGAAAAGTTCCCCTTCTTCCGGATGGTTCTGGAAGTGCACCATCAAACGATGCAGGAATGTACGGTTGAATGAATTTTTTTTTCCAAGTGATGACCCTTTCGCCGAATAAAACCGCAGCTATGGATCGGAAACCAACTAGTGTCCGCTAACTGACAGTTTCAGTGGTTTGCTGTCGGTAGTGACGCAAGTTATTCCGATCTTCAACTATTCGCAAGGTCTGGAAAAGGCTGGTCACAATGTTTTATGAATTTGAGAACCACGCTCACTTCCCTATTCTCCACCAGATGCTCAGTCGTTGATGGTACCCGTTCCGCCTAAAGAACTAAATTTTACTGAAATCAACTTCCCTTCGATCGTTAGCATCGCTTGAATTTTTCCTCCAACTTCGTTTACCCTTCGAGATATCCTTGTCATAAATTTGGTTTTTATTCACTATGAGGATCCATCCTTAAAGTTCAATTGGTAAACAGCGGAGATTTTATGATACACTTTTAAAAGTCTAAAAGGCAACAATATATGCCTTTTGCTCTCATTTAAAACCTAATGGTTTTATGCTTGGTTTATAGAGTATTTTATCAAGACATTGTAACGATAACTTTACAACCCAATAGCATTTAATAAACATTTCGCCTTTAATTATACTTAATAGACTGTACCCGGCTTAAGCTACTCGATACCCTACCAACACAGTACCATCCCAAACTGCTCGAATTGATCTTCCAGTGTATAGGCGATCGAGAGAAAAGTTTTTATTTAATTTTCCCACGACGCAATAAAATGAATTTGCCTCACTCAAACGCTATTACGTTTTGTCTTTGGGTTTGATTTAAACGACGCAAATAAATTTGATTGGTTAATCCAAGGTCATGGGACTTGAAAGGATTAACCCAGAACACTTTCAAATCACTTTTGTTGGAGTGCTTAGATTGTTCGGTTCGATTTTTATAAAGCGGAATAAGTTTTGAAATAGTAAAGAAAAGTTTGAATTGGTTTAGTGGTGAATTTTTGTAAAAGCCTAGAACAAAGTGAGTTTGAAACATTGAAAAGCATTTGAACTTAAAATGTATTAAATTATGTATTATAGTTTACTTTAGTGAATTGTATAAGCTGAACCTAAAACAAATAGTGAACATTGGTAGTATTTAGAACCAGGTAAGAAAAATAAGTCGATAATTTTTCTATTGTGTAATTTGTAAGACCCTTGAACACGTTAATAGGTCCCCCATTAACGTGGGAGTTTGGTTGGGATCGAGAATCCCCTATTTCGAGAGCGAATAAGGCTAATAGCGGTCGTGGATAAAGCAGGTGGTAGACTATACCCGTGAACACTACACGTGGTCCTCGAGACCGAACAACCCCTGCACTCCCCTAATACGGAGACGCATTTACTCCATCCACCTCGTAACACCACCCACCGCATCCTTCGGAAAATATTAGTACCAAACCGCCGGCAGATTCTAACCTCTCGTCGTCAAGTTCGAGAGAAGGTGAGTCATCAGGCGTTACGCGCGCGAGGGTTATCGCTTAGCCTGGACAGCCATCCGTAGCAGATGTAGAGTTCGTCTCGTCGTAGAGGAGCCACTCCGACAGCACCAGCACGGCCGATGAATGGTAAAGGGTTATGAAAACAGGTCAGTGATCACTGCTTAGGACATCTTTGAGCTCATTGATTAGATTAGACTGGTTCAAATAAATCCCGGGTCAGAATTTCAAATGATCGATTAAATTAATTCAAACGTTTGAAATCGCGTTTCGAATAAATGTTCTGAATGAACACTTTGGCTGTGCGCTTCCATGAGAGTAGTTTGCGTTCGTGTTTAATTAAAAATGAAGTTTCTCGTAATTGATTTTGAGTGATTTTGAGTTAGATTATTGGTTGTATGACGTTTCGATTGACTCGCCCGCAGATTGGGAGTTTAAGGCCGGGCATCCCTGAAATAATTTCCGCTTTCGACCTCCGGTAAGGAGTAGCGCTTAAGTCGTTTGCAGGTTTGAAAAGAAACTGAGTATTTCCGGTATTTCGGGGACTGAGCAATGTAACGCTTGGTCGTTCGTTCGTTGAGAAAAGTTACGCGTTACAATATTAATAAAAAATTGCTAATGAAGTTTATGATTGATTTATAGAACAGTTTTATGGTGGGATTGAGAACTACTTTAAATTTAATTTTTAAACAAGACAGCTTTTGACTTCTCGCCAGACTGTAAAAGGTTTTTAAAACAGCGAAATGGTGAACTACTAAGCAGGAACGTTTTACACTGAGAAATGCTGTATTTAAACTAAATTGATTAATAATTGCCGTTAAAAAACCACCATAAATCAGAGTGGATGCCAAATGATTGCAGAATTCTTACTTGGGTAAATACGGTCATTTCTCTTCCAAAATCACGGATAAGGCGATAGTTGGGATGTATCAAGGAAAAAGTCTTGCCAGAAATTATTATTGTGAGAATTCATATCTGCATCAACACGTACTAACTGCAGTCACGAATGCTTATTCATGGATAGAGATTTTGCAGCTATTTATTTTTCCAGATACCGTGACGCTTGAGCTCGAATAATAAGGATGCTGACCGCATATCGTATCCACATTACTGAAGCCCAAGTATCAAAGGATCCGTAAAAAAATCCTTGCGTAAATAGGAATTCCCCTCTAAATATGAGTTGTAGCTAGAGGTGTTATTGCTGAGTAATCAAACGTTGAACTGTTGAACAAGTCATTGCATATCTGTAGGTTAAACACAATACAATACTTGCTTGGTTTACCACAGTTCAGGATTATTTCAGAAAAAAAAGTTGACAAGCATCAAATTCAAGGGTCATACAATAACGCTAGCAGTTTTTCGGAATTTTTCAACTCGCCATAGTAAGACTTACTATGCCATAGTAAGACATACCAATTGCTCCTCCAATCTTATTAATATCCTACACAGCATTCTGCATTTGATTTCTTCATCCTTAAATAAGATATGTCCCTCTCTAGTAAAGATATCGTTAGAAAATCGCAAGCACCCCATCTCTCTTAAATGCTTACACAATTCAAGATCAACAATTGAAAAAGCCTCAACTCCATTTTGTAAATAAACCTTGTTAAAAGGCCATTTTCTCGCGAAACGAAACCTACATTCACCAACCTAAATCACATTCGGGAAGAGCATAATTTTCCCCTTCCTGTTAATTTTGTTCGTTCGTTGGTTCTTGCAATTTTTCGGAGCAATTAAAAAATCTAAGATTTTTCACTTCACTTTTTGCACGACACGTAACCATGTTGAAAAGTTATTTGTTTTTATAATAGAGCTAAAACACTATAGAGGAAGAATAGCGCTGGTGTTCCCTTTGTTCCGATGTTGAATAATACCGGGTACAGAACATTGAAACTGCATAGTTTTTTCTCGCTTTGACAGTTGTGTCCCTATTAGATGTAAGGAAAAGATGTATTGACAGCGACGGCAGCGCTATTCTTCCTCTATAGACATCTCCAAGCGCAATCTCACGAACACTAAAATCCAACATCCTTACATAAAAATAAAGAAACAAAAAGGTATCGCGATATCACAACTACTTAAAAAGGTAGCGCGCGGTCTCACGCACACTTTTGTGCATCTGGAGAACTCTATAGTTTATTAGCTCTATTGTTTTGACATTATTTAATTCTCATGAGCTTGTCAATTGTGAGTTGTGTCAGTTTTGAGATTTATTAACCATCGTACGCAATAACGCGTACGTAAGACAGAATTGATATGTTTTTACATTGTAACGTATTTTTCTACATTGTAACGTAACAACACCCACATATTTATTTGTTACAAGGAAAATGAAAATCCAACGTTTTCTTCAAAATGTTTCAAATTTTCTGAACTTAACAACTTTTAGCAAGAACAGGAAAATGAGGGAGCATTATTCTCACATCCCACTTATAAATGTTCAACAGAGATGATCAGTGAGTGAATGATTTTGCTACTCGCTCCTTGTCATTTAATCTAACTGTCATGGATGGCTTTGATGAAGACGGTCTAGTGAGCTAAAGGTTAAGGTTTTTCAAAAAGATGAAGATTTTTAAAAAGTATTTTGCTGCTTTTTTATCGAATCTGGTTGTGCCATCACCCTAGCCTATATTGGTGCAATAAATCTTACGAAAGAAAAACAAACGCGTTCACTGAAACCCAACGTCCATATATAAAAATGAAGACGAAGAAGAAAAAGAACCAAAATGGTATCGTGATATCACAACTACTGTAAACGGAAAACCGCAGTTTTTTTTTTTCTATTATTATTAAAGTCACTTTAATACTCTGGGGTCATTCGTGACTTGTCCGGGGGTGAGATTTGTACCCGTAACTTTGGCGTGAGAGGTATGGATGTTAACCACTACGCCGGGGTTACCCCCCCCCCCCCCCCCGGAATACCGCGGTCTAACGCACACTCTTGAGCATCTGGAGAACTCTATTGCAATTAGATTGGATTTAGCTGATCGATGTAAACTTACTTTTCAAATTTGCGTGATTTACTTTGGATGCGGGACTACACTTTTATTTTGGTGTGTTCTAAGCTGTTGCATTCGCGCTACTGAAATAATATTATGCTGTGCGGAGACCATGGTAAGGATCTAGAAAACAACCCCTTCTCAGTGCTGGTGGCTTCCGATGAAGGCATTACAGTTCGGGCAGTAGTGATCGGCGTTCTGGCACGAGTTGCAACAATATGGCACACAAACACATGGCAAGCAGCTGCAAAAGGAAAAGAAAGATGAAATAGCTTGTTTGGGATAAATTGATAACAAATAGTATTGTATTTTGCAAATTTTATCTGGACACCTCGATAGAGCGGAATCGCTAATAAAAGTGCGCTCTAACATTGTATCGCCTTGGGAGAGTTCGATTTAGCTCCCAGTCTCCTTCCCAGTGTGTGCAATAAGTCTTTGCGTCATGATAACAGTTAATACAAATGTCTACAGAAAGAATCTGGAGCCTTAATTATACTTTTAGGATGCCATCAGTGTTTATTTCCCTGTGATTTCAAGAAATTCCGATCGGTTCAATTTACTTTGATGCATTTTCGAAAAATTCAAATGTAGTTTTTTTCGACGCATCATTACAGATTGCAGGAAGCTTGCGTCATTCTGTGTAAATAGCAAAAAGAATAGAATGACGCGAGCTTTTTGTAAAATAAGTTGAACTTTGTATGAAAATGGCGACATGCAGAATGTGGCGTTTGTTGCCTCTGGCTGTGTGTAGTGATGTCCAATTACTACTCGATTAATTGAGCTAATCGATTATCTGTTAAAATAATGGAAGAGTTGAATTTATTTCAGTGTATATCAGGGTTCTGCATTTTCGAAACAAAGAAAAGAACTCTCCGCAGAAACGTTTAATTTCGAGGAGTATCATTTTCGTGTAAGTCATCGTGTTTTTTGTTATCGAGTCACGATGAACATTCCTCTTTTCAAACATGACTGGACTTTCAATTGTTTTGTTCGTCAAGTGCTTCAGTTCATTTCATTTGAAGCAAAGATTTGTTTCAATTGACGCAATGAATGACTCGAAAACTGCTGCCTCCGTTTTTTATTCACTTTTACTTCAATTCGGGGCTCCTTCGACTTGTAACGACCTGACGACGCAGGCATCAAAATATAGTATCCGGATAGTATCCGCATAATATCGGTTGCTGATAGGGATGTCATCCGGATTATATGTAGTAATAATATATTATTAAATATTAAACGAAAATTTAATTAACGAGGCCATTCTGGAGTCCAAGATGGAGCCATCGGGGTCAGAGAAAGTCTCAAATACCCTACAATATGGGTATTTTCGGAACGGGGACGACGCGAAGGTGCTGAAAATCATTTTGGAATTCAAGATGGTGGCCATTGGTTTTATGAAGTGTCAAAAACCCTAAGATATGGGTATTTTCGGAACGAATATGGTGGCCATCAGGATTCAGAAAGTGTCAACTATCCTACAATATAGGTATTTTCATCGTAGATGCCGTAAATCGATATTCGACGCCATTTTGGAATCCAAGATGGTTCCCATAAACTTTCATAAAACGTGTCAAATACCCTAATAGGGGAAATGGCTCTAATGTTAGCCTATGGATCTAAGATTGGGCCCATCGCTACAAATCTGCTATTTATCAATTGTATCTAGATGAACGCGTCATTAGGACATTTTTATTGGATATTTTTGGTTGCTATTGAAAATTTAGTCGATTGCTGAATTTATGTATGGGCCCAAATTAGGGACACATAGGCCGATATTACATACATTTCCCCAATATGGGTATTTTCGGAACGGTGACAACGCGTAGATGCCGAAAATCGATATTAGATACCACTTTGGAATCCAATATGGTGGCCATAAAGGTTCAGAGAGTGTCAAATACTCTACAATATGCATATTTATCGGAATGGGGACAACGAGTGAATGCCGAAAATCGATATTCGACGTTATTTTGGAATCTAATATGGCGGCCATCGGGTTTCACAAAATGTGTCAAATACCATAAGATGTGGGTATTTTTGGAACGAGGACGATGCGTAGATGCTGAAAATTTGTATTCGATGCCATCTGTAGGCTATTTGACACTTCTTCTGAAAACGGAAGCCACTATCTTGAATTTTAAGATGGTGTCGGATATCAATTTCTGACTTCTAGATGTCAGCCCGACTCCAAAAAAAAAAACCCACGTTGATCGGTATTTGACAGTATTTCACAGTTTTCTGAACCAAAACCGCCCTCTTGGATTTAAAGACGGCGTGACATCAATTTTCGGCCTCCACGTCTCATCCCTATTCTGAAAATAACCATATTTTAGGATATTTGACACTTTTCCGCAAATCGGAAGCCGCCGTCTTGGATTACAATATGGCGTCGAATATCGATTTCCGGCTTCTAGACGTCACCCTGATTATAAAAAAAAACCCTTTTGTATGGGTATTTGATATATTTTACAACTTATTCTCAATCCGGACGCGGCCATCATGGATTTCAAAATGGCGTCGGATATTGATTTCCAATCTCCAGGCGTCACCCGATTCCAAAAATACCCATATTGATGGGACGGCATCAGCATTTCCCATTTTTCTGAAATAGGAAGCCGTCATATTGATTTCTGGCCTCTAGATGCCATCCCGATTCCAAAAATACCTTTATTGATAAGTATATAATAGCATTTCCCACTTTTTCTTAAACTGGAAACCGCCATCTTGGATTTTAAAATGGCGTCGCATATCAATTTTTGATCTCTAGACGTCACCTTGATTAAAATAATACCCATATTGATGGATAAACAGTGCACCCGACAATGCTAAATTTGACATCCACGTGCACAGATCTATGCGCATACGCTTAAATGGATCGAGTGAACAAGCAAAAAAAAGTCATAAAAACTGCTGGAATTTGGATCGAACAGCTTCGCTTCAATGCAAAAGTAAGTTCAAGATAGAAGACATGAACACGAGTCAAGCCAAAACAAACAGCACGAAAACTGATCGAAAGTGGTTCTGTTGATATTGACGGGGATCTGCTCGAAGAGAAGAAGTGTGATGGTTGACAGCTTCATCGTCGCTTGACGATTTTCGATTGAAAGTGACTTTGTAGGGCCCTGGTGTATATAGACCACCAAGCCAACAGAGCATCGATTGAACTTTTACTCATCTAAACTTGAAGTTCAGAACGTCTATTCTCTAAAGTACACTCAAAAAATTCAGGGGAAACATCTCAGAAGGGTATAACTCGAAACGTAAACAATGACTTTGAACGTATATTACTCTTGAATGACCAATCATTTCTCTGTCAGATGATTTAGTTAGTTTGAGTCGGTATGTAGTCATTCGTAAGAAACCGACGATGCAACTCATTGTTTACGTTTCGAGGTAGACCCTTCTGACATGTTTCCCTTGAATTTATCACATATCTAATGGATGAAATCCATGTGAATTTCACATAATTTTCCTGTGATCACATAGCAGCAAATCCCACTACAAAATCACATGAATATTATGAGGCCAATGAAATTCATATGATAAATCGTATAAAATTTATGTGATGGCATAAATGTTACGTGAAAATCCATTAATTTTGATTATGGATGAAAATCATGTGCGTTTAAAATGGAAGTTATATGAAAATTATTTTTGGTGTAGTTCAGACAATAACAAAGCTACTCAAATATGGACCAACAGGTCTGTGTCATAAAAAAAGGAGAAAAACAAAGCTGAAAATCCGTTTGTCTGGCCCTTATCTCAACATGATACCACAGACAAACAGACATAACACATTGAATTAATGATGTCAAAAATCGATTACTTTGTTTTTTTATTATTGATAGCAATGGACATCGAATTAATCGATATGAAATAATCGACTAATCGAAATAATCGTTTAATTTTTATACCTTCTCATAACAAAGAAGAACAACGTCTTTAAAGAAGCGTTTAAACTAGCTGTAGATTATTCATCCTTGGATCATGTTTAAATTATTGTTTCGTGATTTAACAGTTCAATGAAATACACTTTTACTCTTTAACGCTTATCGACTACATCACATTTTTAGAAATATAGTGAGAGAAAAGACCACTTGCGTCTTTATGACGAATTGATTTTGACTTTGGACTGCAATTTCATGGGCTACAAAATGGTGAGGGACAATCTGGAAGGAGCGATATACCTAGTTCCGGTCCTCACAAGTTCCTACCTCACGCCTCCACGAGTCATATGATCACAAAAGCCTGCCAGCTGAAACATGGACACAGCTGGTTGGCGTAGCCTGGGCAATGTTGTCAATCCGGCAATAGCAGAGTGAGGAGGTGCGACGCGAACACTGGCGCGGTAACCATAGCACGGTGATAGAGGAAATACTTCGCCAACCCGAGCGTCTGTTCACCATGGAGGTGCGGCTCAAACAGCGTCTGACTGCACTCAAAAAATTCCACACGTTTGATCAAAGTGTTTAAACACTTGATTTTTTAAATGCAGAATCATATTTACTTTTAGTGTATTTCACCTTAGTTCCAATATACACCAATATACACGTTAATTTCTAGTGTTTCAAACTTTGAAAAGTTGAAAATTTTTTCACTATCTATTCAAGTGTATTTCACATTGAATCACACTACTGTTCAAAACAGATGGATTTAAAGTGTTTTGCATTTCAATACGATGTGAATGTCTTGCTCAGAAAGGTAAACATCGAAAACATGAGTTGTGACTTTATCCTATCAGCCCGCCTCATATATGAGGACAACCGTGGCACAGTGAGATCGAACGAAGACTCCGACAGCAGCACACCCCAACAGTCCATGATCGAATCGCAAATCAGACCCATTAAAAAGATATGTGAAAGCTCTGGCCTCTGAAATTTGTTTATATATTTGTCGATTCATTTTAGAGTCGGTAAAGTAGAATATGGTTGAATATTGAACTATGATGTGCAAAGCTATTGATATCACCATATGAAGCACATAGAAATCCTGGGACTGAGTGAAGCTCGTTGGCCAAACTTTGGAGAACACAAACTGCCGTCGGGACAGGTACTACTATACTCTGGTATTCGAGGTGAAAACGCTCCCCGCCATCGTGGAGTTGGTCTCCTACTTAGCGTCCAGGCAAGTGCTGCGCTCATCAAGTGGGAGCCTGTGAATGAGAGGATAATCGTTGCCAGATTTAGAACACGGGTTCGTAACCTTACCATAATCCAATGTTATGCGCCAACCGATGCTGCCGAG